GCGGGGTTGGGCCGCAGGGCACGTCTCGGCCCGCGGGAAGGCGTCGCCCACGGCTTCTTCCCCAACTACGGACTGAAAGGCGGATTCGCCTTTTCTCAACCTCCCTCTCCGGCCTTCCCGCTGCTGGCAGCCTCCAAAGAACTGGAGAGGGAGGGCGAATTCTATCGGGCGCCTGGCTCGGTGCTTTCCACGCGCAGAGCAAATAAAGGCGCTTGGGGGTGAATGAATCCAGGCAATGGAAGAGGTTTGGTTGGGTTTTTTTTCTTTTCCCCTCTAAAACACCAACCCCCAGCTTCCCTGCTCGCCAGCGCCTGGCATGGACCCGCCAAGCTTGGCTTCAAGTGCGCTGCCCGGCTCGGCCCTTCCTAAAAGCACCTCGAATTAACGCTTAAAAGCCGCACAGTTTTAAAAACGGGGCCTTTCCGCCCTTCCTTTGAAAAACCACGCTAAAAAAGCTGCCCAATAAACCTCCAAGGGCAACGTTGCGGGGTTGGGGATGCTCTTGCGGGCAGCAACGTGCGGAGCCCCGGCAAGAGGACGGACTCATCCTGAGCCACAAAAGCTGTGAGCAAAGAGGGGGGGGGAAAATCCAAAGGAAATGCCAAGGAAGGGCCCCACCTCCCTTGCATCTGACCAAATCAAAAGGAGCACCCAGCATGGATTCAGCAAGGGGAGATGATGCCTGACCGAGCTGATGGCCTTCTGCGATGGGTAGGTGAGGGGAGAGCAGTGGGTGGTGTCTCCCTTGACTTCAGCAAGGCTTTTGACACCGTCTCCCGTAACATCCTCATAGGGCAGCTCAGGAAGCGTGGGCTGGATGAGCGCACAGTGAGGTGGACTGGGAACGGGCTGAAGGACAGGGCTCAGAGGGTTGGGATCGGCGGGGCGGGGGCTGGTTGGAGGCCTGTGGCAAGTGGGGTTCCCCAGGGCTCAGTACTCAGCCTGGTCTTGTTCAACTTCTTCATCAATGACCTGGATGAGGGGACAGGGCAGACCCTCAGCAAGTTCACGGACCAGGAGGCTGCAATGCCATCCAGCAGGACCTGGGCAGGCTGGAGAGTTGGGCGCAGAGGAACCTGATGGAGTTCAACACGGGCAAGTGTTGGGTGCTGCCCCTGGGGAGGTGGAACCCCATGCACCAGGACAGGCTGGGGGCTGACCTGCTGGGAAGCAGCTCTGCCCAGAGGGACCTGGCAGTCCTGGGGGACGACAAGCTGACCATGAGCCAGCAGGGTGCCCTGGTGGCCAAGAAGGCCAAGGGCATCCTGGGGTGCATCAAGAGGAGCGTGGC